ACACATTCACTCCCAAAGCGTTAGTTTAGCACCTGTTCCACAGACCCTGAATTAAGCATCAGGGGCACTGCTCTCAGGAAATTTACAGTCATTTCCATTACATCTTTCCCCACCCAAGTGCCTTTGCACAAACTGTGGCATTTGCCTCAGATACTGGTTTCCTCTCTCTCCTGCCCCTACTCACACTCTAGGGCCTCCCTGTTACCTTCTCTCTGGGGGCCTTTTGAATGCCCCATAGACACAGGAGCTCAGAGTTCCAGCATCCTCTGCCCTGGCACCTGTGGGCTTCTTAAAGGAACCAGCCTGGTTTATTCTTTCTTTTCTTTTTCTTTTGAGACAAGGGCTCGCTATGTAGCCCAGTCTGGCGTCAAATTCACAGAGATCCTCCTGTCTCAGCCTCTGGAGTGCCTGGATTACAGGCAGGTGCCACCGCCCCCTGCTGGAAGCAGCCTGTCTTGATTCGTCCTGGATCCCCAAGCACTCTGTTGAATGAATGAGTTAGTCAGGACTCTGCAGCTTTGATCTTGGTCTGACTCATCCCTGGCCAACGGTGTCCCTGTCACAGCCCAGCCGGGAGGAGCTGGCTCTGGGTCTAACCTCTCTTTTGAGAGTCTCTTTGAGAGCCAGGAGGCCCCCTAGAGAGTTACAGCGGGTTCTGCAAGCAGGAGAGGAGGGGGAGGCTGGTTGAGGGGCATGGTGGGGGCAGGGAGGTGTTTCTGGTCCCATTAGTTCAAGCCACCAGCGCTAGCCGTCCCCCATGGCCTCCGAGAACAGCGGTAACCATGGCAACCGGCACAAGAGTGGAGCGGAGCCAGGCCCACCGAGGGGATGCAGCCAGGCTAGGCTCTTTGGCCATGGGCGTGCGTGTTGGGTCGGGGGCTGGGAGCAGGTGATGGGAACAGGGGATCCGTGAGGGCCAGGCTCCGGGTTTGGTGTGCGCTGGGCTCCCTGCAGCCCCAGCCCTTCTCTGTGGATGGAGCAGGAAAGACACAGAGAGGTAGGGAGACAGAAGACGGACACTGACAGGAGGGGAGAGATACAGAGCTGGACAGAAAAACATCAGCAACACAGACCAAGACGCACAGAGACAGACAGAGGGCCAGGGACCATGAGGAGACAGGGGAACTCCACAGAGGGGGACCCTGCGGGAGAAAAGAGAAGGACAGAGAGGGGGAGAGACAAGAGCCAGGCAAGGTGAAGGAATCAGGCAGGAGAGAAACAGTGAGCCAGAGGGTAACAGGGAACGTAAGGCTGAAGAGAGAGCCAACAAGGATGACCAAAGCTGGCTAGAGAAAAAGGAGGAGCAGGTGGCCCAAGCCTTGCAGTCCCAGCACTCTGGGAAGCTGAGGCAGGAGGATTGTATTGCAGGTTCCAGCCCAGCCTGGGCAACTTAGCAAGATCTTGCCTCCAAATACAATATTTAAAAAAAGGGCTGGGGATGTATCTCGGGGTGAACTCTGCGTCCAACTCCCAACGCTGGAAAAAAGACAAAGAAAAGGATGAAAAGTCAGAAACGGAGCTACCCAGGGGCAGAGGGAGGCTAAAGGGCGGTCAAAGTGGAAGGACTCCAGCCAAGCCCTGACCCACGTCACCCTCAAGCCTCTGCCACCTAAGGGAGGCCAAGAAGGGGTCGCGGGGTGTTCTTTCTTCTCTCAAGGTGGCAGCCAGGCAGGGCACCCCGCAGAGCCCCAGGTCGGAGCAGTGGCCCCAGCCATTGCTCAGGGACGAGGGCTAGGTTGCCTGTGGAAGCGCCTCCTGGTGGTGACTCCCTCCGGGGGTGCTCCCGGTGTTCCTTGCCTGTGCTGAACAACTCACCTCCTAGCCACAAGCTGTGCTGACACAAGCGCAGGTGACAGTCTGGGCAGAGCAAGTTGGCCACGTGTGACACTTTGGGAAGGCGTTGCCATTCACGCAGGCGGAGGTTCCCAGGCAACCTGCAGCTCCTGCTCAGTGGAAAAATGAGCGCTATTGTTTTGCTGCCAAAAGATAAATCCCTCCCAGAAGATGGTGCAGTGAAAGAGAATTTCCCTTCCAAAGAACTCTTGTTTTCCTCTGAATTCGAGTGAGAGTGTTAGAACCCAGTATCTCCTTTTTGCCTTGGCTGCCCGGAAGCCCAAATCCAAGTTGCAATGGTTCGTATATTGATATCCCGGTTCAAACACAGAGATTCTTGAAATCCACGAATCCCAAAAGCTTTCTGAAGACCCTAGAAGTGTACACAGAATTATGTCTGCGGCTATGTTCGCAGGCTGGGGCTTTTATTTCTCAGGGTTCTCTAAGATGTTCATTGTCAGGAGTGTTCAGGGTTTGACTGGCAACCCCAGCCTATTGGCTCAAGTTATATCCAGTCCTCCCCACTGGTAGAGGCAACAGGGGTCCCCCAGGCCCTCCCCTCTTCTCCTGTCATCACACAGTCCGGGTGACACTTCCTGTCCTTCTCTGCACGTGGATGTGGCCACTGAGAAGCCTCGCATGCCACTCCCAGGCCTGGCCTTCCAACACCGGGATCTTCCATACCCTCTTCCTCCTTCCCGCCAACCACAGCATGGCCACACCAGGGCCTGGCGCCCAGCAGGCGGATTGACAGCATCCAGGAGGAAGAGCAAGGTGGGTGCTGTCAAGCTTGGCCCTGGTATGGGACAGAGATGCGCATTTCACACTTTGCCCTTACTGGGGGCCTCCTTCTGGCTGGATGTTGCAGTGCCCAGTGATTCCAGGTTCTTTCTGTCTCACCCCCAGAATCAGCCAGGACAGCCGAGGAACAGTTAAATGCAAACTTTTATTTAAAGGAAAAGAAGAAAAGGAAAGAGTGAAGAAGAGAAAAGAAAGGAAGTGAAGAAAATAGCAAGAAGAGATACGTCCCGCAGGCAGGATGAGCCGGTACAGACACAGGAGGCAGGACAGCAAGACCACAGCAGTGGTGAAGTCAAGGGTCATCACCTCTTACGTCCTCCCAGATCTGGCCCATCAGAAGTTGCTCTGCCCATGCTTCTCGGCTGTGATTGACAGGTTAATTCTGTTCCGGATCAGGTTACATGGCTGCATCCTGTTTTCTGCCTCCCATCCAGATTACAATTGACAAATGACATCCTGTTTTCCAGCCAGCCTGCCATGCCCTAATCTCCTACCTCATCTCATGCTAGCTGCTTAGCTTTATCCCATCCAGCGTGCCAACACTGAGTTCCCACATTTGGGCCTCAGGCACTGGGCTGCTGGGGCTGCTTCGTTAGCATTGTGTGAGGGGCACCCTGGCCATCGTAACCCCCTGGTTACAAAAAAGGCTTGCAGCTCTCCTTCCCAGAATAGACTGTCCCCAGCCCACTTGTCACTCGTGTCCCCTACCCTGAATCCCTTCCCAGCCTCTGGATTTCTGCCCTGTCTAAAGTTCAGGTGACACCAGGGTGAGGTCACAGACTTCAACCTCAGTCAGTCTCTGTTCAAATCCAGACTAGTGTGGGGATCACACAAGAGACACTGTATCCTCCATCTTTTGGGGATTATCAGCAGCAGCCGGGGGTCCCACTGCTGCAGAGCTCCTGTTGCTCGCATCTCCTGGGGATCTAGCCTCATGAGGGGACAATACTGAGAGACTGTGGGGTCTTCATGGGTTACCGTCTTTGTCAAAGAAGCAGTGCTGGAGGCACAGGGGCCAGAGCTCTGCTCAACGTCTCCTTCTTGGGTTGCTGGGGAGAAGGAAAGGAACTATTCATTCATTCATTCATTCATTCATTCATTCATTCATTCATGCCCTGCCTGGTGTCCACTTATCACTGGTTTCATTCTCAGTACAGGGACCCAGCCAGGAGCCTCCTTCTAATATAATAAATAAGTGCATGATCCCGGCCCTTAGGAGATACCAAGTGCTATGAAGAATTGGCCAAGGTACATGGGGCTGGGTTGCAATTTTACACAGGGCGGCTGAGTGCTTGTTGAATCGACACAAGGCCCTGAGCCTGATCCCCAACACTGGAAAAAAGGTCAGGGATGGCCACAATAATCCTGGCTGCAGAAGCAGATTTATGGGAAGCTGTATGAGGTGAGGCAGTGAGTCCCATAGGTGTCGCTGGGAAAAGCCTCCCAGGGAGGGGGAACTGCAGATGCAAAAGCCCTGGGGCAGGTGCCACCTGGGGGCTGGAGGTGCATTGAAGAAGCAGTGGAGGAAGGCAGGGAGAAGGCAGGACACAGGGAGGTGGACAAGTTCAGCTGGGGCTGGTAGCTCATGCTGAACCTCAGCCTTTGCTGTGGGAAGCAACCAGGACACACTGTGCTTCCAGGCCCCAGGTCTTGGAGGTGTGCGTGGCTCTGTAGGGACACCTGGCATGAGTGACCCCCCCTGCAGGTGATAGAGAGAGAGCGAGCCTGCACAGAGGTGTCCAGCAAGCCCCAGGATGGCAGGTGGAGGGGCAGGGCTTCGTAGGCACCCAGGCCTGAGTGAGGCGCTCCGGGCCTTGGATCAGCCAGGACTGCAGCCTCTGCCTTGGCACTTTAGAGCCTATGGGGAATCTGGGCCACCACGGGGCAGCCCTTGCACCTGATTAACCCCAAGGCGGGCGCTTGTCCCTGGTGCTGTGCACTCCAATGGCAAGATGCCCAGCTGCTGGTTTCACCGTCATGTGCCAGGTGCAGCTACGTAGGCAGGGCCCTAGTTCTCTCTTCCTCTTTTCTTTTCTTTCCTTTTCTTCTCTTCTCTTTTCCTTTTTGCAGTGCTGGATATGGAACCCAGGACCATACACATGCTATACAAATGCTCTACACCCTCAGTGCTACCCTAAAATGCTGAACGAATGAATGAAATCTTGGATTTCAGGGCTCATGCCTCAAAATGTGGATTGACAACTCTGATGGCAGGGGCTCTGTGGGACAAATTTTTAAAAAAACCAAACCAGCCGGGCTTAGTGGTGCACCCCTGTAATCCCAGTGCTCAGGATGCTGAGGAAGGAAGATTGCCTCGGGTTTGAGGCCAGCCTGGACTGCACAAGTGAGTTCAAGTTCAGCAGGAACTACGTAGCAAGACCCTGTCTCGGAAAAACAGAGACCGAGATCGTCTTGGCTGGGGAGGATACATTATTTGATTTTATTTTCTTTTTACAGGATTTAACCTCTTAATTCTGTTCAGCTAGAGCTAGTGTTTCGTGATTATTTGCTTCCTTCTTTTCACTAAATATTTATTGAGGCCCTCGTAGGTGTAGACACCACGCGCCCAGGCGCAGGCCCGGCTGTTCTCGGCCCGGTTCGCGCAGACTCAGACGGGAGCTGTGGAGCACCGGGGAGCGGTGCTGTCACCGTGAGGAGCGCCCGAGGTCCTCCGCGAAGGCCGGGCTCTTCACAACGCAGCCGCCACGCGCAGCGTCGAGAGCTTTCTGGGGCTGAGCTGTTTCTGCTGGGGAAGCGTTTCTCACACTGCCCATGGGGACTTTTATCCACCTTATAATTAGCTCCTCTGTAGCCAGGGACAAATCAGGTACGGGACTGTCTCTGCGTTTAGGAGAGGTTTACATATTTGGAATAAAAAGCAAGGAACCAGAGGAGCAGCAGCCAAAATGCAGAAAAAAAAAAAAACAAAAACAAACAAAAAAAAAAACCAGGAAAAAGAGAAGCTTCGAGGAGAGGTGGCCGGGCCCAATGGAGCCGCTTTCCTCGCGGGCAGATCCCTCTTGATCTGGTCGGATCCCCTCCGGTGCTTCCTCCTAGGAGCTCTGATTCCCGGTGTTCTTCAAGCTCTGCCATCTCCTGTGGCACCAGAGGTCGGCGCTGGAAAAAAAACGAGCTAAAGTGGGAGTGGAAGGCAGGCTGGTCGCTATCCGGAGCTCGTTACCACAGGGACACGATACATGAAGGGTGGTTTTTGCTTTTCTGTTTTTGGTGGAAAGGTCCTGAGGGTCAGTTCACAGACTGGCTCAAGAACGAGCTGTTCTCATTAAATGAGTTAGGCAAGATGCGAACACTAATTGGAGTGAGTGAATCAACCTCACTCTGAAAGAAGAGATGTCATTAAACCGAATGGACATGCGCATGCGCACACACGCACGGTCCGCACGGTTCCTTGACTCGGCTTTGTAAGCCGCACAGGGCTATTAAGACCTTGATGTACGAGAACTTGAACATCTTGGTGTCTTGTTCCCACTTCACAGCCAGGGAAACTGAAGTCCCAGGACAAAGCTATTAACAGCAGCCCGAGAAGAGGGGGTAGCTAAGCGCTCCTGGGTCTTGGAGCCCCATACTTCCAGATGTGCTTGGAATGTGGGCCAAGTGCGGTGTGGGAGACAGGGTGGGTGGTCAGGCAGGGCTGTCCCAGCAGTGAGCCACCAGCAGCTTGGAAAGAGGGGACAGTTGCCTCTTAAAAGGAGCTGTGGTTGGGGCCGCCTCTCTGAGGCCCTGGGTGGCCCGGTCCTTGCCTCTTACTGGCTTCTGGTGCCGGTGGCAGTCATGCATCTTGGGGTCTGTCTGCATCCACATCTTTCCTGTTGATAAGGACTCACGTTGTTTTTATTTTGTTTTGTTTTGTTTCTGAGACAGGGTCTTGCTGTGTGGACCAGGCTGGCCTTGAACTCATAGCAATCCTCCTGCCTCAGCCTCCTGGGTTCTGGGATTACAGGGGCATGCCCCATGCCTGATGGGGCCTTGTCTTGACCATATGCAGAGGTACCATGGCTCAGGACCTCAGCATGGTTTAGGGGACATAATTCACCCCATAACCAAAGGAGGGGAGGAAGGGGTAGAAAAGAGAAGCAGACTGCAGGAGGTAGCCTGTGCTGTTGGATGTCACTGTAACAGGCAGCCAGATCTGCCCTTGAGCACAGAGGTGTCCGGCAGGGGTCGGGTCCCTCGCTCTGCTGTCTATAGTTGATGCTACCTAGCACTTATCACCCAAGGGACCGGGAGGCCAGTCACTTCTCAAAAGTCACAGAGCCAGCAGTCACAGCACATGGGGTACTTTCTGTGCTTATATGTCCCCACCACTCTCGTTGTCCCCTGAGCATGTGACCCTGATGTAATAAACACAGAAAGGTTCCTACCCCATTTCATTTGTTGGGTGACTTGGCATTTCCTGTCTGTAAAATGGGCTTACTCAGCTCCTTATGTTACAGAGTTGTCTGGAGGTCTCAGTGAGCTGGGTGTCTCAAGGTCTCATCACAGCGCCAAGCCTAGCACACAGCAGGCAGTCCTCATGTTAAAGATGAGAAGCCTAAAGAACAGAGAGGCATAGTAACTCACCTGAAGACACACAGCTGATGAGCGAAGGAGCCAGGCTCTGAACCTGTGTCTATGTAACTTCATAACCTGAGCTTCCACCCAAGTAAGAGCCCCACGAACAGTAGTTAGGAGTATTGTATTATTTGCTACAAGTTTTATATTTGGGAGCTAAGATCTTTTTAAATTTACCATGCTGTCTTTGGACCTTTGATTCTCCTGCCTCAGCCTCTCAGGTAGCTGGGATTACACACACAGACCACTACAGGCTGTCCCCTTGTCACAAGAGTTGCTTTTTAGAAAGATCAGTCACCAAGCACCAGAGCAAGTGGACCCTGGGCTCCTCCTGGCAGAGTCATCATGCTGTGTGTGTGCTTTTCCTGCAGGGGGTGTGCGCATGGGTGTGCGCATGTGTGTGCCAGTGCGTGCATGTGTGCATGCACGCTTATGCGTGTGAATATGGGTGACACCATCCTTTCCCTTCCAGTTCGGCCTGCAGCATTAGGGGGTGGCCACCACTGGTGGGTACAGTAGTTTTACGGGAGGGGACCAGGAAGAAAGCAGAGCAACCCCGAAGCCATAGCCATGGCAGAGCCTGAGGTCAAGACCGTGTCCTTTCAGCCCCGCCAGGGTGCTGGAAGGTGTGTGTGTTCATTTCAGAGAAAGTCATTCCTGAGATAAACAAACATAGCCACTCGTCTCCGTCGTATATCTTAATGAACTGTCATTTTGGGGGCAATGATTGCAAATTACAGACAAGAGGAGACAGTTCAGGAAAAATCAGAGGCAGTGATTAAACACTGAAAACGCAGGCTGGCTTAGAGAAGCCAGGTTGTAAGGTCACACCATGCCTGCGCGGTGAGGGTCTGCCCTGGCCATGTCACCCAGGCACCAGCCAGGAAACAGGGTGAGGCAGGAGGCACAGCCAGGAAGTAGTGGGTTACCCCAACCCAGTACCCCCTTCGCTGCATGAGCTGGGGGCCCAGTGAACAAGGCCCACCCATTCCTGGAAAGGCTCACAATCTAACTGGCCAGGAGGCCAAGAAGTTATACATGATCCTCCTGCCTCAGCCTCCCAGAGTGCTGGGACAATGTCACTTCCAGCCTGTAAACCCTTTATAAGTGAGGGACATTTCTTGAAATCTTAAGTGGGACCCTGCCTCTGCTACAGTGTGGAGGGAAGGAGCTTTCTCTTGTCTCTCACAGACCTTCAGGCATCCAGGAGCAGGAGCTCCCAGCCCGAACAAGTGTGGTGGTAGAGGCTGAGGCAGGAGGATCGCTGCAAGTTAGAGGCCAGCCTAGGCTACATAGTGAGTACAAGGCCAGCCTGAATTGCATAGTGAGACCCAGAAGAAAGAAAAAGAAAGAAAGAAAGAGCTCTTTGCTCTGCAGTAGCGTTGCCAGGATGCCAGTGAGGAAAGTGCTCACACCAGGTGTCCTGTATCACAGCACCTGCACTGCATGGCTCTGGCCACCTCTGGCCAAGCTAATTTTTCCCCTCTGGTGCTGAGCACATTTTCTTTTTTTTTTGTTTTTTTTTTTGTTTTTTTGTTTTTTCTCCGGTACCGGGAACCGAACTCACGACCTTGCGCTTGCCAGGCAGGCGCTTTGCCTCTGAGCTAAATCCCCAGCCCTGAGCACATTTTCAAAAGCATCATTTCTACCCTCTCCTCCCAACTAGGGCTGTTGAGAAGCCCCTTGCATGGGAGTCAGGAGGCCTGGGTTCAGCACCAGCTCCCAGCCAGGACAGACTAGTATACGGTCCTGCCTCCGTTTCCCCGCCCGTATAATGAAGTGGGTGGCTTACAGTGGATCCTCCATAAGCTTCCTTCCAGAACGGGCAAGTGGGGAGCATGGCACCTTCTGGGCCAGGACACTCTGGGCATTTGAGAACCTGAGATCCCTGCTGAGGATGGGGCCCACGGCCCCCCAACACCTCTACTCCTTCCAGGGCTTTCCCCCCCGTACCTCCTCTCCCTGGGAAGCCCATTACCTCCTCAGCTGCCTGATGAGCACAACCTTGGGTCCTTTTTTGCTTTCATCCAAGAATAAAGGGTTCTCCAGGGTGTTTGCCTAGGTCCCCACTTTACAGATGGAAACACTGAGGCTTTCCCAGGATCACTTTGTATGTGCGGTTCACTCTCTGCAGCAGAGATCCCGGCCGTACTGTTAGCAGATGGAGGGTCCCATGGGGCTTCTCTCCAGGTTCTTGATGCCCTGGACAAAGTGTTGGGCAGACAAGACACCTGGAAAAGAAGTGACCACAGCTGACCAACAGGATCATGGTGGCCCTAAGGATAAGGGCCGGAATTTTTGTACCCCAAATTCCTAAGTTAGCTTCCCCCTTATGAAAATAAAGGATTGGGCGGTTGTCCTATCAAGAACTCACATGGCCGGGCATGATGGCTCATGCTTGTAATCCCAGCACTTGGGAGGCTGAGGCAGGAGGATCACTGAGAGTTTTAAACTAGCCTGGGCTACACAGCAAGATCCTGTCTCAACCAACCACACAACAAAATTCACCATGCCAAGTATAAACTGGCCTGTGGAAAACCTTGTTTTCCCTCAATATGTAAATGAAGGATCAAAAACTTCCTCTTTTGATTGGCTGTGCCCCCATGCAAATAAAGGATTGAAAATAACATCTTCTGATTGGTCCTCTGTCAGATTCAGCTAAGGGACTGAGAACATTGCTTTCCAATTGGTTCCCGGACAGTGCTCAGGAGCCATGGAGTTATTTGTGGTCTGTGCTCTGCACATGTCCCCTGGATTTTTTTGAGTTTTGACACGTGCAGCCCAGTTAGTTGTCCTGTTTGCCCCAGCCCTAGGCTTCTACCTCCTTACCTTGCACAGGACTAAACTGTGGATTCTCAACTTTTGAAAGGAAGTACTTTTTTGCTGAGTTTGTATAGATTAATTTTTCTGACTACGGAAGATGAAAAACTGATTGCTAATACACCTTTAAGCCGTGTCTGATCCTTGTTTATCTCCCTTTCCAAGAGAGAGTGGGCTGGGGTCTCAGCTCCTTCCTCAGGAAGCAAGCAGTATCTTGTTAAAGTTTTTTTAAAAATTAGTTAAAGATATATTGCTAGAATAAGCTTTTATTTTCACTGTGTCCATTTTTAAATTTTTTGTAGTAGTACAGATTGAACCCAGGGCCTTCATACTAGGCTACAGCCCCAGCCCTTTGTATTTTTTTATTTTAAGACAGGGTTTCACTACGTTGCTAAATTGTCAGGCTGGGCCCTAACTTTTGATCCTCCTTATTAAGTAGACAGCCCTCGCTGCTCGGGCCACATGCTCTGTGGAGGCAGAAGAGCAGCTGAGGTCTGGGAAACTCGGCCTTGGAGCAGGAATTTCGCTCCCAGAGGGGCCTGCGAGTTGTCTTGCTGCCTACACTTTAAAAAAATTTTGTTTGTACTTTTTTTTGGAGACAAGATCTCACTATGCAGTTCACTATGTAGTGCTGTCCTCATGGTGATCCTCCTGCCTCAGCTTCACGAGTCCTGGAACTACAGCATTTGGCCTGCACCTCCCCAGCCCCTGTGCACACCCCAGCTCTGGGTGCCCTTTTCCCCTCTGCACATTCCTGTGGCACCACACAGCCACCAGCCTGCAGCCTCTCCTTACCTCTGACAGGGGTGAGTGTGGACCCCTTGTCCTTGACCACATTTTTATAGCAATTCTGCTAGGAGAACTTTCACTCGAAGTGGTCCACTGAAGAGCCCTTCCTCAGTTTACTCCGTGACTCGGTGAGCCGGCTGAGGCGACAGACATCTCCTGAGTCCTTACGGGGACATAACCGTTTCCAGCAAGGTGGTCAAGGAAAGGCAGCAGCTTCCTGCCCCTCGCAATTCTGCCTGTTACCAGGACCTAATTCATATCCAAGGCAGCGAGCAGTAGCTTCAAGCCCTGACAGTCACTCACTCCTTAGTGAGAACCAGTTGGTCAAGGGGCCTCCTTCGGAGTTTATGTGCCTGTAAGTGCCTGGGACCCACAGGGACTTTCGGAGTGACCAAGGGAAGAGGAATGGGCCACGTGGGCGCCTCTCCTCTCATCTGGGCAGCTACCAAGCGTGCGCTGGGCTGTCTGCTTTGACCCGCGGGCCCGAAGCTGGTTAACAGAGAAAGCTCAGAGGTTAAACGCCTCAGTGAATTATGCAGCAGGGGTTGGGGAGGGGGTGGGACCGCGATAGTAGCTCGAAGAAGAAAAGCTAAGCTCCCCGCCCAGACCCCACCCCAGGCGGAGACGCAGGGATGCCCCGACGATCACGTCCTCTGCGCAGATCCGGGTGAGGATCCTCCTCCCCGGAGCACCGTGGTCGCTTGTCTTCTGCCGCCAAAGCGGGAAGCTCCGCAGGCCCTCAACAGGCACTCCCGGCGGGCAGCGGGAGCCGAGAGCCGGAGGTCGTCAGAGGGATCTCCGTCTCCACCCTCGTCCTGCAGTCGGCCGGAGTCTGGGGGGGTCGCGGGAAAGTTCCCCGATTAAATCCTCGGCTCCAGCGCGCCACCCCCGAGTCCCCACTGTACATCATCCGAATTGAGGAGGAGCGCGGGGAGGGCTCGGGGTGCAGGCTGCGGAAGTGGGCGGGGGCGGCCCCGAGGACCCCCCGATCTAGGCCTGTGTGCAGCCAGCTCAGGCGGGAAGAGGCGAGGCCCTTCCCCGCGGCAGTCAGGATAGCAGCAC